CCCTCTCATGCTCTCTCTCTCTCAGTCTCTCTCTAATAAATAAATAAATAAAATCTTTAAAAAAAAAAGAAATAGAGCATTGTCAATTTCCCCAAACCTTCCGTGTGACTTTTTGATCCTACCCCCTTCCCACTCCCAAAGACAACTGTTGTCCTCAATTCTTTTCCTCGTGGTTTTCCACAAAAAGCAGGCATCCCGGAATGCTCTGTTAGTTTTGCCTGCACTGGAACTTTCCATATATGCAATCAAAAACTGTCCTATCTGCATCCAGCTTTCTCCTACGGTGTGAAGTTATCAAGGCTTATCCAGTTCGTTCATTTTCTAACCCCTTTGGAACCTATTATGTGATCACACCTATTATCTATTTACCCCTTCCATTCTTGCTGGACAGATGAGTTATTTCCAGGTCGGGGCTCTAGTTACATGGTGCTGGTACGTTCTTGTGCGTGTCTCTCGGAACACGGGTGTGCTCATTCTTTCTGGATCTACACCTAGAAATGGAATTACTGGGCCATCGGGTGTGCCTATATTCAAGCACGGTAGATAGTGCCAAACAGATTTCTGAAACAGTTGTACAGTTTACCTCCCCCCAGCAAGTGAGGAGAGATCATTTCTCTGCATTTTCACTGAGAGCACCAGTCTTGGTACTCCCAGTCTTGGGATAAGTGTGTAGTGGTATCTCATTGTGGTTGGGATCTGCACTTCTCTGCTGGCTGATGAGGCCGAGAACTTTTCCACATGCTAACTGGACATCTGGGTAATCTCTTTGGGGATGTGCCCTCCCTGTCTCTTGCCCATCTTAAAATCAGATTGTCTGTCTTTCCCCTCTTGCTTTCAGGAGCTCTTGGTATATTCTGGGTACCAGTCCTTTGTCAGATAGAAGTATTGCAAATATCTGCTCCCAGGGTGGCTTGAATTTTTGCTTTTTTGTGGAACAAAGTCTTTCATTTTAATGAAGTCTCATTTATCCGTCTTTTTCCGGTGGTTAGTGCTTTTTGCGTCCTGTTTCAGAAATCTTTGTCTGCTCCAAGGACACAAAAATGTTCTCCGGTGTTTTCTTCTGTAAGGTGGACTGTGTTCCCTTTCCCATTAAATAGCCACCCTCTTTAAAATTGCCATCTCCAGTGTGCCTGACTGGCTCAGTCGGGGGAGCATGTGACTCTTGATCATGGGGTCATGAGTTCGAGCCCCACTCTGGGTGCAGAGATTACTTAAGTAAATAAGTAAATAAATAAGTAAATTTTAAATATTAAAAATAAAATAAAATTGCCATCTCCTCCCTTCTCCCCACTCAGACCCTGCATTCCCATACGTTTACCCCACTTTTCTAAAGATTCTGAAGATTCTGGCACCCCAGCACTCCTTCCCCAACCTTAAGCTTTGAGGGGGGGCGGGGACAGAGAAAGAAAGAACCGAGCAAGAAAACAAGGCCTCGGCCAGGAGCAGCCCTGATACTTGAGAAGCAGCAGGGCTGGGATTATCTTTGTAATAGCAGGAGTGAAGGGTCTTAAAATCAGATTCTACCCAAGAATAGAAGTGTTTTGTGTCTTTGACATTACCTTTTTTTTTTTCCCGGTTCCTGCTAAAAAAGAAAAAAATTAATCGGGTTAATGGCCCGTAAGAGAGACTCCCAGAGGACGAGCTTTGTTTCTGATGCATTGTTTTCTCCTTTAGCTGCTCTGTGCGCTCTCTGCTTCAGCCCACTCTGAGGGTCGAAACCACCCCATAAAGGCAGGCCACCCCAACGAGGGCATCCCTCGGCTCAATCCCACCACCCTGAAATCATGACCTGAGCTGAAATCAAGAGTCAGACACCCCCCACGCTCCTGAGGAAATGGAAAAGCTTAAGGAGTGGGGGAGAGAAAGCTGATTCTGGGAGGCTTTAGGGTAAGGGAAGTAGGAGTGGTCACAGAAAACTGAAGCTCAGAAAGGCCAGGAACAAGGTCTTGACCATGGCTGAGCCACACGTGGTCATGGACACTTGACTGAGCTGTCATTTCCCCACCTTGCAGAAATGGATCAAGGCAAGTGCAAGATGGACAGGAAAAGACAATTAAAATTTCCAGAAGGAATTGGCCCTTTGCCATGTAGTGTTATTATAATTAGATTGCAGGGAGGGATTACACAATCAGCTATTTCCCATCATCAGAGTGAGAATTATATTTCCTGCTGTAGTGTTTTTTGTTTTGTTTTGTTTTATTTTGTGAACATCTTGAACTAGTTTTCAAAGCATTTTACACTTGATGAAACCCAAAACTCATTCTGCCTGAAGGGTATTTTTCATTCGTTGTTAAATCTCTGTAAATTTAGAGGGAAACATAAATCATATGTGTCTAATTTATTTACTCCTCACAAAATATCCTCTGTCTAGACCTGTTTGTCTGAGACGCCTCCTAAGCCTTCTGAAGCTTGTTCTCTCCGACCCAGGAAGCCAAAAATAAATTGTAGAAAACTCAGACAGCTCAGTTAAAAAAAAAAAGCCGGTAGCCATGTGCATTTTCACTTGAAAGAACTTTCTTTTTAGCCCACCAAAGTATAGCATGATAGGTTCTGTCAAAACTCTCCATATATTAATTCGGTGAATTTTTATGGAGGGGCCTGTTTGGTGCCACGTTATATTTTAGGTTCTGGGAAATCAGCAGTGAACGAAGCAGGCAGAATCTCCGCTCTCGTGGAGCTTCCATCTTCACGGGGACTAGACGATTCAAATTAAAAAGTAAAATACGTGCTATATTAGAGTGTACTGTGGAGAAAAGTTGGGGTGGGAGGCTTAGGAGTGCTGGGTGTGTGAACACCACTGTCATACGAAGGTCAGGGAGGTGACATTTGAGCAGCGGCTCACCTTCCCTGAGGAAGGGAAAGCAGACTTGCCTCTTCTCATCAGGGTTTATCCCACGCCAGGTACTAAGCTTGGAAGGTCGGAATGAGGACATCATCACTTTAGCAACCGCATCAGTTGGAATTTAAGTAACATGGGGTGGCAGCTCTGAAAACGTAGAACAGTGGGTCAGACCCACTGCTGAGCCCCAGGTTCAGCTTTGGGTGTCTTGAGGTAGCCCCAGGACTGAGATCCAGGAACACGAACACGCACTCACTCCAGAGTGAGGCCCGCACTGGGCTTGAAGTGGCTCTCAGCAAAAAGGAGACCTTTCTAGACATTCTACTCAACTCACATTTCCTTGGATTTTTTTTTTTTAAGTCAGGCTTCCAGGAAGGCCTTGCAAATTACTCTCAGTCTGCAGGCTGCCTGTTAACTATATCCCGAGCCAAGGTTAGATCGGACCCATGGAACCCTACGTCTCCCTTTTTAAATTTGCCTTTAATTCCTTCTTTGGGGTTATGACAGAAATTTGCATCTCTCATGTAATTACCAGAAAGGGTTCTCAAGGGGGCCAGGAGGCAAGATGGTGGATGTGATAGGCAGAATTCTAAGAATGACCCCCAGTAACCCTCACCCTTAAATAATCTCCTCCTTACATATGGCAAAAGGGAGATGATCTGGGTAGAGCTAACACATGAACCCTTTAAAAGCCGGAGTTTCCTCTGAAGCATCATAAGGACTCAGTGCACCATTGGTGGGCTTGAAGGTGAAGGGGGCCCATCAGGAGCCGAGAGAGGTCCCTGGCTGATAACCAGCAAGGAAACCAGGACTGTCTAGCACTAAGGCCTTGGGAGTGCTGAAGTCCTACCAATACCCAGAAAACACTATGGGGGGGGCGCCCCGCAGTTGTGAAGTCAACCAGTTTGGCGCTGGGGTGTCCTCTGTCATTTCTCTTCCTGTCCTGAAGCCCTCAGACCTCAGTGAGACTAAGGATGATCAGCGTGCTTGGCCTTCTGCCCTCCCTTCGCTGAGGGACCTGGCCTGGGACGCACTCTGATGAGTGGGTGGAATTCAGCTGTAAATCTCTGCAGAGTCCTTGTCCCTCCCAAGAAGGGTGATGAGGCGCAGCCACCCCACATGTCTGCAGGTGGCCCCTTGGCTCTGTTTCTAGGACCCTGCCATGCCCTGGTCACTGTGGTTAACACCGGTGATTTATTTGGTGGAGGGCGTAGGTAGGGATTACCTACATCTCATCTATCTCTCCAAAGCTAGAATCCATAACTTTTAGCATGTTTTAACTGGCTGAGTTTTAAGGTTTTAATGGCCTCAGATTTCAGGTGTCAAAGCATTAGAGTA